GAAAATAACCTATTCTGGCTGTTGTTTTTTCTATTAAATGAAAGTTTGTCCTTATTTTTCCAGTAAGAGATAACCCTAGAATTCCTGAACCCTCAGGTGTCACTCACCTTGAGAGTTTGTCTACCTGTTCATCCACTTGCGGATGATGCTGTGCCGACGCGTTCAATACAACACCCGGGCGTAAATTAGTGTCAAAGGTATTGCCTGGACCTACTGTGAATAACCCAACCCGAACGACATGCATTAGGTAGAGAAGTGTCTGTCGATCATATGGTGAAGATTCTTCCTCTAAATTTGGATTGTAACTCTGTTCCGTAACACACCATTGTAATGTTTCTCGATGTCTCAGTCCTCGTCTGCGGATTAAATGCCTTGACCTTCACCTTAAGTTGTTGCATGTTCTTTGAAAAAATTACTTATTAGCCTCGCTGTCGTACATAGTGAAAGGATTTACAATCACGAAAGCTGTAACCCAGTTTCAAACCACTATAGCAGAGTCAGTACGTTATTCTTTCTGGTACTGACTATCTGTACTGATTTGGGCTGGAAAGAACTGGATAAAGTTACCCCATGCTGATCACCAACCAGCGGGTTTGTGCACTGTCAAACAACTGATACCAGAATGAGGTGCATGAGGTCTTTGTTGATGAGGCACTTATGGTTACTGGAACTTTTTGTGTGCCCTATCTAAAGGTCATCAGACTAGCAGGGCACCCACAGCTGGAAACTTATCTCACCAATGATTTCTTCACTTGTCCCGGCATCATACGATATTTAATATCAAGAAAATATTTTAAGACATCACCCTGCATCTTCATGCAACTCAGAACATCGGACCTCATCTTTTCATAGACATTTAACGGCACATAATCCCATTTTTTCACATTTACGCTGGAAAAAAGGCATGCATGAGCGTTATCCACGTTCGACGCAAACTTGCCCACGATGCTTATGTAGAATGTGTCATACCTATCTTCGCATCCCCCTTTTCACCCAGGAAAACTGCTTCTGTAACATAAACCAAGTACCCAAACCAACAATTGTTTTGGTTGACAATTTTTCAGTACTTATCAGGCTTTTGGTGACTTATTCTCCTTTAACCTCGCAGACTTATGGTCTTCATTGTGATTGGTTGAGTTTATCTCATAATTTTTGTGTAAGGATTGGTCCCACTGATTCGGCTAAACTGCTGGCTGAAGGAGCTGCAAATTCCGATTGTACACTTTTTGCAGATTATTCATTTATGTCTTGCTGTTCTCCTTGTAAATAGCCAGGTGTGTTTCCCCAAGGGAAGTGCTATATTTGGAGTTATTAATTATGTTAACTTTTCTGATTATGTTCTTTACTTGCAGTACGACTCTTATAATAAATCATAAGAATACTTTGTGAGCTTTTGTAGTATATGCATTTGGCTGGGGTCTAGCAATCGTATTTTTAATTTTCAAAGCTTGGGACACCAGTGCGAACTACTCCAGCAACTTCTTTCTTTCCATACGGTGTTTCAGAGACCAATCGGGCCTAATGGATGTGCTGTCTTAGGGTAGAAAGGGACTGGTGAACAGCATCGGACACTAGGTCATTAATTTTGGTGGGTTATATGACACTACACGTGAAAAAGTGGCAAATCTTGTTGTTTCACGGATTCTAATACCACGTTTAAGAAATTTTAGTGGTGCCCCACACTATAGATAAATTTCATGTTGTTATCAGCTTCCTAGTGATGTCAATGTTGAAAATCTCCAGAGGAATCATATACACTGATCTCCGATAATTCCAGACCAAATGAATCCAGACTTCTCTGGAATTTCAGGTTTGTTGTTTGAGGATAGAAGGCTGGAGGTCTATATTAATCCCTTTCCAGAAGATTTCTGTGCTTGTCCAACCCCCGTTTTGAGCGAGTCAGTTGGTGATTCGGACACCACTTCTTCTGGAGTCGATTCCAGGAGTTGATTACTTGACGCGAGAACCAGTACTCTGTGGAGACTATGTTCATTCTTTGCCTTTGTAATCCCCTACTCTTTATCCTCTGAGATGTTCCGACCTAGTGGAAAGGAAAAGAGAAGATAGATCAGGTCCAAAGTCATCTCTTAGAGTCCTGTATAGCATGATTAGGTCTCCCGTCTGTCTGCGATAGGACAAAGTAAAGAGGTTCAGCTCGTTAAGTCGGTCTTCACAGGTGAAGCGAGCCATCACAAGGATCATATGAGTGGCTGCTCTCTGAACTCTTTCCAGAAGGTCTGCGCCACTTTTCACATAAAGATTTTCAGCCCGTGTACAGTTTTCTAATTTGGACCTCACTCAGGATGTGTGTAAGATGGTGGACATGTCACCACTTATTTTCGTAAACGTTCTGCTTAATGCCCAGACAGTCCTAAAACTCCGAGCTGCCACCAGTAGACAGTGAGCTGTGGTTTTCAAGTCATAACTCACCGTGACTCCTAGGTCATTGTGGGTCGGTACTGACGGTAAAGGAGTCCCACCAGTGTCCTGGGTGTTGCTGTGTATGTGTGATCCAAGTGCATGCTCACACATTAACGTGCATTGAGAGGTATCAACCACTTCTCTGACCAGGTAGACAAGCTGTTCAGGTCTGCCTGACGCGCACGTATATCCCCATCGTTTCTAATTTCCCGCCAGACTTTTACATCATCAGAGTAGAGAACCATAGGGGATTTCGTCATATTCGGTAGCTCACTTACGAATACGAGAAACAGCAGGGGGCCCAGGACTGAGCCACTCGGCACTCCACCCTCTACCGACTCCTAAGTGCAGAGCCGAGGATTGATCCTAATTCTTTGTCTCCTACCAACGAGAAACTCTCTTGCTCATGCGAGCAGACTGCCAGTGATTCCAAAACTTTCCAGTTTCCTCAGCAACCTGGAATGAGGTAGCTTGTCGATGCCTCACTACAGTCGATGATGACATCAAAAGGTATTCCGTCATCTTTAGACTTGACCTAACTTTCCCTGACCTTAGAGGGGTTTGTTAAGCGTAAGAAGTTTCTGCGAAAGCCACTCTGAAAACGGGACAATAGAAAGTTGCTCTCCAAGTGAGCTGTGGTGGCTTTCTTGATCGCTCTTTCTGGCATTTGTAAAACAGTGGCAGTCAGACTCATCAGTCTGTAATCTAACTGGTGGTGCCTAGAATCTGCCTTTCGGGATAGGTGTGACTACGGCATCCTTCCAGTCATAAGGGAGTGTGCCTTCACTGAAGGACAGTCTAAACATAGTGGTCAATGTAGCCGGCTAAATAGAGCGCAGGCTCTCTAAGCAGCCTTGGGTGGGGCTCATCCGGTTTCGTTGATTTTTCTACATCGAGAGAACTTATGTCCGAAATGCATCATTGCAATCGACTTCCACAGAGTTTATTCTCCTGCATGTCTACTGTTGAATATGTGTCCAAAGAAGACTCCTGTGCAAGAACCTCAGCAGAATATCCAGCCATAGCTTCCGCTTTCAATCAAACAGTCAGTTTCTGTCCCTTTGATTAGAGTGGATAAACCACGATACGTCTTGTTTCTATGGTTTATACACGAAAATAACCTCTTAGGATGTTGCAGTGCGGCCTGGATGAGACATGTTTGAAAGCATATTCGAGACCGGTGGGTGGTAGCCATACGTCTGTTTTGGGCTTCCTCGTAATGCTTCATCACATCGGGAGTACCGAGGTGGGTGGCAAGATACCAACACTTTTTCTTACGTTGTAGTAAGATACGGATTTCGTAGTTTATCCACGGAGGACAATCTTCGTGTCCCTTCGGAATAGTCCGCGGAATGAACGGTTCGGTTGCCAGTGCATACAACTGCTCGGAGGAGCATCACTTTGATTCAAGTGAAGCTTCTGGCTTGTTTGTGAAGTCTTCCAAAGAGGCTGCCAGGCTGATAGCTTCCATATTTGCTTTCCATACATTGGGTCTAGCTGGGGCATCAGCCTGGTACAAGACTGCTGGTGTGAATCTGCAGACAATCTCAGAATAATCACTTTTACCAAGGGATACCAGGTTCCAGATGAAGCACAGACCACCGATGTGTGAGAATAATAAGTCTAGAACTGATGCAGCGTGTTGATGATCATATCTGGCTGCCATGTTAACGTGCTGTACAAGGGTTAAGGAAACTGAGGTTCCCACTAACCAGTGATCAAACGAGTTACATAATGGCGCCTACAACTAGGCCTCGACAGTTAGTTGCCCGGAGAGTCAGCCTATTCAGAAAGAAGTCTACTGCCCCAGATTCGGGGCTTCGATAAACTACGACTAGGTTATCATCTTGTTCCTTGCAGTTTAGTTGGACGGGCAGAATTTCACATGTCCCGCCTTCATGTACAACCTTTTCCACGGCTTCCACGGTTGAGGTATTCTTAACGTAGAGGATGACATCATAAACGTTGTGTGCTGGCCTATCACTCCGAAAGGCAGTGAATCCTCGTAAGTGTGTTTCACAGTCACTGATCCAAAAAGAGAACAAAGTTCCTGAGATAGCAATTTTGTCAGGGCTTTCTATGCTTTTCGCATTACTAAGTCCAGTCCACTTGTTGAAGAGACAATGTGCATTTGTGTACCAGATGACAAAACTGATGGGATGAGCGTCCATCCCATCCACAGGAGATAAGGAATCGTTTGTTGCCTAAGCTCCAATGCACGAAACCCACTACTTTTAGATCTTGGTCTGTTGCTCCTAACTTAATTCTGCTTCTGCCTCTCGTTTTCGGACTCTACCAAAAAGAGCCAAATCCCTGCGCACTAACACTTCATACCCCCGAATTCTATGAGCGTTCTTCAGAATCTGATCCCTCTTCTTTTTTGATCTGAACATGACTTTAAGTATTCAAAACTCTTCAGAAAGGACTGTCTCCTTTTTCCTACTCTGTATATTTCTTGCAAGAGTATGGTATTCTAGACAACAAATGATGAGTTAAAGCTATTCCAACTACTTACAAAAAATAATTAGGACCTCTTTCATTCCTGTTTGTTGCCATAAAACAGTTTGTTTATTCGCGTAATGAACTTTCTAATCGGTCGGTTTGAATTGTGGGGTTTCGCTTGGATTTTCTGTTTTCGTAATGCGTTTATTTTTCAGGAGTGCAGTTATATTTTCCACAGTTTGCTTCTATTTTCGTTTCGTAAAGCCGTCTTAACATTCATAGTTTATTGTTCCAGGCAAGTCATTTAGGTCCAAAACCGGTAGTCTAGTGGGAGCCCACTCGCATACCCCACCATAGGACAAAGACGAGAGTGAGATCAAACTTTTCACGCAGAGTATGTGCCTTATGGGACGCTCTGCCTAGGAAAGTAGCCATAGCTACGTCAGTCAACTTTAAACGACTACTGGATGCGTAGGTGAGCGCAAATAGCTTACCACGAACAGTTGCCGGTAGCAATTGATATGCTGTACCATCCGTGTATTACCTTACTTTAGTATATGTAGTAAGACGTATCCTTTCTTCATATTATTACAACTGACGCATCTCTCCATAAGAACGTCCCTTTTCACTTCCCACTCACCCTATTTCTAGTACATTTTAAGTAGCGCTTCGTACTTGCAGGGATTGTAAAAGTTAATTGATCTTATCAGCAGCTCGGTTTTCTCCCCTCCCCGAAACAAACTAAGCCACAATTTGCAAGAAATATACTAAATAGACAACCATTACCTTCGAAGCTATAAGCAGGAAAAATGCAGACCATCGAAGGACTACAACCGAACAAAAAGAACCAACCCTCAAAACCTAGAAGCAAGTGCTGAAAAGCTACAAGTTCCCTCTACTCGCACTATTGATGTTGGATGGCGGAGGGGAGATTTTCCACCTCCAATTATCTGGGACTAACATGATAAATTTCCTGTCACTCTGGGTCAATTACTATTGTGAAAATGATGAGAAATGATAAGGATAATAAACTGAGTATTCAAAGTTGTTTTACTACCTTTTTGTGTTAATGAGTAGTAAGTCATGCTTGAAACAACAATATTTAATGCTGTACCACTGTGCCATGTGAAGTACCCAGTACCAGGTATTATAAGTGGGACTACATGCCGAGGAATCTTGAGGTTGTTGACAGCAGCATGTATCGTCCTACAAAAACTAGAAAGCGCAAGTGGCATAGGTTTTGTGTTGTTATTAAAGATTTTTGAAGGGGTGACATTTGCAAACTGAGATCACAACGTTTGTCACCTGGGTGCTTGGCTGTCTTCGTGTCGTAAAAATGGTTAGCTGGAATCTTTTTTCCTTTAAGTTGCCTCAACGTTATTTTTTTTCTCTGGAACATTAAGAAGCATCTGCGAGAAGTAAGGAACCAGGTTGCATACATAAGGACTATTACTGTTAGAGGTTCAGTTTCACTTCAGAGATAGGCGTGTACTATTCTGTCAGGAGGTTTTATCATTTCGTAACTCGGTTCGACAAACTGTTAGAACATGGCCCTCGAACTTTCGGAGTGCTTTTGTATGTGAATATTTACCTTTGGTTGTAGATGTTAGGAATAAAAGAGATAGATCGGGCCTGAACTTAGTTTATCAATTAGTGGACTAGTGTGAGCTTTTCCTACCATAACACGAGGGGGATAGGATCAAAACGAGTCATATTTTTTTGGTCATCATCCAACATCCAGATTAACCTAGGACGGTCCGAGTTGCCACACCTCATATTAGTACACAAAGTGAAAAAGGCAGTGAGGTGCAAGATGAAGATAAGGGAATGTAGTCAGAAGAAATATAAAGTACGAAAAGATAGAAACGAAGAATGAGAAAGTGGTGAGATTCGGTATAGCGTCGTTAAGATAAGGGTAATATATGTATACATCTGCGCCACTGATATCGGTTCTGAGCCATATCACCTAAAGTCTCCAACCACTGGTTCCTTTTGTCCCGCGACCCCAACCACTTAGTCTGCGTCGTCCCACATGGCTCAAACCAACAGTCAGAGACTTCATACATTGGTACCATGTTTTAGTCTGGCCACCTCGTGCCTTTTTCCAGTCTGGACCTACTTCAGCCAACATTGTTTGACAAGGTAGACGGCGACTGGGCATACGTAATACATGTTCCAGCCAGCCATCTCAGTCGATGAAGGTTCACAACCTCGTCAGCCGACTTACCTCTTCTCTCTAAAACTCTACTCCTGACTTCTGCGTTACTCACGTGGTGATGGAAGGAGTTAGGGACCCTTTGATCCTTGTACACGCTACGTCCATTACACGAGCTTACCTCCTATCCTGGATGTTTTGTGTTAGGTTTAAAATCTAACTCATCGCTGTTCTGGAAAGAGCGTTAAGGTCTTTACCGAAAGATTCTCTACTATTTGTCAAGTCTTCTGTTCAGCGTTGGGAAATCTTTGCATTCACAATGTTTAAGTAAAGGCATATAGTTGGTATGGGAGTTATGCAAATCATCGTGACTGATTTATGTTCCTGGAATTAAGTATAACTATTTGTGACCTGTTTTAATAGAGTATTTATATTATCCTATTACGATGGTTTATCATGATTTAACATCATCGCAAAAATTTTTAATACACGAAGTTACCACTTTTTGACGATTTATATAAGGACATGTTGTTTATCGTCTGTTCTATTCTTCATAAGAAGTCCCTCAATCTAGTCTCCAACCTTGCTAAGTTGAGTAACCCTTACGAAAACCTATCCGAATTTATGCTGACCATTATGTTTCTCTTATGACATTTGACGGTCGAGAGTAACTGGTATGAAAATCATCTTGGTTCATAAAAGCTTGTTTCCTTCTGCATGCATAAAAGCAGCACTGTGGATGGCTTTTTCTACTGAAATGAAAATTACATTCGTCAAATTATCCGGACTACAGTCTGCTACTAAATGACTACAAGTATTTATACAGATCGAATGATAATGACATCCTTTCCCCTGTCATTATGATTAACTATGTCAATTATTAAACTTCACAGTTACTTTTCTGGTCTGTTTTATCTGATAGCTGAAGAAATATGAGTGCGCTTCACCAGGACTACTGAACTAACTTGAACTGAAGCTCTAATCATATCTACGAGCACCTCTGTTCTCATGGTATGAATTTTAGAAAGTTATGTAGTTGCCGAGATTCTTGTATAAAAGATAGCTAAGATATTGCCGCAAGAATTTATTATTAGAGTTCTCTCTATCTACAGTACTCCTTCATGAGAGTAATATGGAGATGCTTTCATTCATATGAGTTTTCTTAAACCTTACAACCTTTATAGGCAGCACTAAGAATTCTTAACTGTCATATGCTGCAGTATCCCCATAACCGATGAGGTCTTATAAATGTTTCTGGTCTCAGCTTGTTCGATGGACACTGACTGACAAAATCATCGTAGAACCTAGCGCACGAGTCCATCCTCTCAAGTTGCAAAGCTTTACTGTAGTACACAAAGAATAGGTGAATAAGAAGTGATATCAAGGAAGACAAATTAGTGTGATAGAATAAAAAACTGAAGAAAATGGTTAGTGCCGAAACTCAAGCTTTAAATGTTAAGGAGTTGATACATCTGCGCCATTGTGACCAATTTTCAGCCATGTCACCAACAGTCCTCAAACACTAATTCCTTTCGTCTTGGGCACACCGACCAGCAGTCTACGTCACCCCACATAGAGTCGGCCAATAGTAAGAGATTTCATCCACTGGTGTCAGGTTTTGGTCTGGCTACCTTAAACCTTCCATCCTAATCGAATATCCCTGGCATGGCACGTCAACGTAGGCGGTGGCTCGATATGCGCAGTACATGTCGAAGCTATCTCAGCCGACTAAGGTTCACTGCCTCATCAACCGACTTGCCTATCTTGCCTAGTACCATTCGCCTAATTTCAGCATTGCTCACAAAGTGATCCCACCAAACGCAAGCAATGCTATGAAGACACGTGTGATCAAAACCGTTTAATCGCTTCATGTCTTCTACTTTTAACGCCCGTGTCTCAGCCATACTAAGGGACTGGATAAACCGCAGCGCAGTGTACTTGTTATTTGATAGATAGTTGGATATCTAGATGACGTCATAGGCCAGACGGGTCTTCTGTGTCTGAGCTGAGATTTCGTCAGTAATCAGCCTGTTTCGGCTGATACAACTTCCCAAGAAAGTAAAGTGGTCGACATATTTCACTACTCCACTCCCTATCATTAAGCTGGTAGTCGTTGCGAATCAGTCGTGGAGCATCATCTTACATTTGACAGTTGCGAAACGCTTGGAGAGCTACGTAAAATTCTGTTGAGTGAGTCCCGAGGACCCAGCAGTCAGTGTTCACACCTAGCAGGGCAATATCGTCTGTATACTCTAAGTCAACCAGATGACTTCCAGGGAGTAGCTCAATGCGTGTGAAGTCGGACGTACTTACGGTTATGTCCATTAATACATCTAGGAACGGTGATAATAGGCATCCCTAAAGGACACCACTAGTTGTCATCAGTCCTGATGACAACTCTCCACACTACATGACGCGGCTGCTTGAGTTCGAGTAGAAAGCTCTGATTAATGTCATATACTTGTTCGGCATGCCCTTCACAGTCAGACACTGCTACAACTCCTCAAGGTCGACAGGGTCAAATCCCACCTTCACGTTAAGAAATATGGCAAGTGTCGGCCACTGCTTGGTAGGTATTCCTGTGTTTAAGAACATGTCGTAGGGTAAAAGTATGATCGATGCACCCTCGTCCAGGTTTGAAACCTGCCTGGTTTTCTCGCGCTTGCAGTTCTCAAGCTCCAGTTAGGCGTCGGATCACTATGCACCCGAGTATGTTGGACACAATACTAGTCGAATAATTCTCCTATGGTTGTCATAAGAAAATTTCTCCCCCTTCTTATTGGCTGGGATAACCAATAAAATGGACCAGTTTGACGGCACTACCTCTGATTCCCATACTACCACCACCTAGTACCCCGGTCACTTTAATGAGCGATTTCCTACCTCCATCCTTGAAAAAATCTGGTGGCAAACTGTTACCTCCAGTCGATTCGTACCGTTTCCGGCTCTATAAAGCCTCTTCAAATTCAGAGAGATTCGTAAGACTGAAATCTACGCGTTAATCAGGTTCAGGCCGGATGTCGGGAAACTTAAGCGTTGCAGTGGGGCAGTGGATGAACTCTGTTTCAAATTGTTCTACCCAACGTTCTAGTTGTCTTTCCTGAGAGGTCATCAGCTTCCCACCCTTTCTTTCCAGTATCCTTAATAAGCGAAAATAGCCGCCGTGTAACCCAAAGCTGGTGCCTTCTCCATCTATCTTGCTTTTGTCACCCGCCGATGCTCGCGATAGACGCGAAGACTCTTGGTCAACTTACGTTTTAGTTGCTTACACCCTTCATCATAGTCAGAGCCCTCTGGGATCAGTCTTCTCGCATCGATCACATCGAATGACGTTGCGGAAATCCAATGATGTTTGCTAGCTAACCATGTGTAGGCTACCAACTGTCTTTACCGCTGTTACTGCAGCAGACTTAACATCACATCATGCCAGGTTTCCTCAGGATGAGCACTGCTGTAACGTTCAGACAAGTGCTTAGCTAATTCCTCTCTAAATGTGTACTTGGCATCCTCATCTACCAATGGAACACAGATGGACCTCACATCATTTTGTTTCCTGCGACCAGTAAGGTGCAGGCATACACAAGCTCGTAATATCGTGTGGTCGGAGTTAAAAGACGTACTCCGGAATGAGAGGGAATCCTCAACAGATCCTCTTCAACGCTTGCTTATAGCAGTGTGATCCGTCTTTATCCATAATTGGTTTGAAGCCGCTGGACGCCATGGGAGACAGTATGTCTCTTTGTGCTTGAATTTAGTGGTTATCGGAGCAATATTGTAACAGACGATCACTGTTGTCGGTCCGTTGACATGGGACTCTGTAAAATATCCCAAGACCCCGTCTGACTGGCTCAGCTTCCCTACTTAGGCTATTATGACTACATCTGAATGTTTTTCCCTCTGTAGCAAAGTTGACAGCTTCCCATAGAACTCATCCTTTGCATCATCGGAACTACGGCAAGTGGGTGCGTATGCAGGGATTACGAACAAGCATCATCTAGTCTTATGATCCCTCTTAGTCCTTACAGACCCATTCAGTCAAACAGCACGTAGACAACCGTCTACTGGTATCCAATCGAGGAGCGCACTTTCTACTCCAAAGCAGTGCTGTGCTTACACCAGCGAGTCCATGAGAGCTGACCATCGTGTCTCCGGGTACGCGTTAGGTGAATTTAATTAGCACACTCAGGTGCTGTATATGTCTCTCAGAGAAACGGCATACATCCATGGCTGGAGATTTCAGGGTTTTGGCGAGCGATGCTTGCTGTCCGACTGGGCATAGAGTTCGGATGTTGAAAGTTCCTACATGAAATCGATGTCGGGCGGGGTTTTAGTAGGCTAGAAATGAGGTTTCGATGGCTCTGATCGCTGACAATGGTTGCAGAGTAAGAGGTTGAGTAAGACGTAAGAGGGTTAATATTGGTATCAGGAGGTGAAGGCAAAGGAGGATACAGAGTTGAGGAGGACAGATGATGTTTGGTTGGGTTCTGTGTACTATTGGAAGCGTGTGGACGGTTGACACTTCCCGGCTGCCCACACCGTGGGAGGGTTTTTCTTATCAAGATACCTGAAAGAGAAAAGTATTTGTGTGACCGCCAAGCTTAAGGAACATCTTCTTGGGGCGTGTCGCATGCGACCTTTTGTGAGATGTTGTTTCGACGTTTGCTTGTTCTACCGCCGGATAGAAGTAACCCATACCGTCGGATTTGGAAGACCGTGGGGTAGGGTGGAGTGTATTATTTTTGGGCCAACCTTTTCTAAGCCGGCTTCCCTATTGGGAAGGTAGTATCAACGTGGGATTGCTGGTCATCCAAGGGAAACACCTTACTGCTGTCACACATCCAGGTAGCAGCAGTACGACTTCGCCTTCAGACCCCCATTAAGATGTAGTAACTTACACTACGTCGGTAGCTGCTTTTCATCTCACCACTCCCCAACAGACCTTTCTGGCATGGTAGGACCTCGAGGGAACAAGCGTTCCACCAGGGAAGCTCGTTGGACTATTATGTTATGTAAGCCTGACAACAACGTCCAGGTAGCAGCTATTGTTCGGGGCTTGTTCGATTAGTAATCGCTAAAAAGTGTAGGGTAGTAAAATAGAAGCTTTTGTGCATCTAAATGTTTTCAAATAAAGTTGCAGTTTAGACGTTCTACGCGTAACTGACCAAGGTATAAACGGAGTTATCAAAGCTTTAAAGCTGCTTTCAAACTTGCAGTGTTTATCATTGGCAAACGAATCTACATCAACCGACCATTCTGAGGTTTAAGCATGCTCGTAATCAGCTATAAATCTCACAACCTACGCTTTTGTGTAAGGTTGAACATAGTTATAAATCAAATAATGAACTCTGAGGTCCAATAACATTATTAAAGGCACCTATCATACAGGGGAAATATTGCAAGTCAACTTCATTCTCCTTATATAGGCTAGAGGAAGGTTTGGTTCTGAATAGAATGAAATCATTTGATTGATTTTATTTCAAATGAGAATAAGATAAGGCTTATAAAACTTACCAATAAACACTTATGAAACTCTTTTGGAATCTTCAGTTACTTCATTTCCTAAATGAAGTCAAGTTTTCAAGTCTGCATTTACCGTCACTAATCCTAGTTAAGTGAAGTGATCAACACGCTCACATCAACTAGTTACCTACAGCTTAGTAATTCTCCTACCACTAGGGTAAGCAACTTAGGGTATTACTTAACCACTAAACCAGATACAAATCTTGTTGTCCGTCAAGCATAACTCGTCCAAGGGACTCGTCATTTGTTTTTCATGTGAATACCTTTCTATTTCAATCGTTTGAATTCTGCGTGGGTAATTTTTACTAAATTGATTCTGTTGTTTATTAATGTCTTGGAAATTTGCAATTTAAATGTGCTTATTTTTAGGTGGTGGAACAGGACTTATAGGTCGAGCACTTGCTTCATCACTCAGAGCAGCTGGACACAAAGTACAGATAATTTCACGTACTCCAAAGGATGTTAGTGATTTAAGTTGGGTACGTTTGTTTTTAGCTAATTGATGCACTTGTATATCAGAATTCTATCAAACAGGATGGTTTACCTAAAAATGTAGATGTTGTCGTGAACCTAAGTGGCCGAAACATTGGTGAAATTAGTTTATCACTTCTTTCTAAACAGTTTGTTTGCTCAATTCCAGTTGTATTTTATATCTATACATTATAGGAATTACGACAAATTTATTGAAGATGTCTTCTCTAGTCGTCTAGATACAACCAGGCTCCTAGCTGAGGCCGCAAAATCTGTTCCATTGAAAGCATTTATAAATGCATCTGCGATTGGTGAGTCCTACCAGCATACAAACTCATTTTTCTGTAATCACTTTGGAAAGTCATTTACAACATAGACTAATATCAGTTTGAGAATCATTGAAAAACTGGTAGCTCTGGAGAGCAGTTATGTTTTAAGAAGTGTTGTGTTAGTGTGACGTAATGTAATCTAGCAAACACTGTTCATGCTTCGGTGTGTGTAGTTGACTTTGATTACGTCACCCACCACTTCAGAATTGGGTGCTAAGACCAGCCGTAAGAGTAGTGGTGTCTAGCAAGCAGACTTAAATCAACGTAGAACCTGACATAGAAGTACAGCACCTGAATTCGCCACACTTCTTAGTATTCAAAGAACAAGTGGATAGAAAAAGGCTGATGTCAACGTGGATGAAAGTGTGTGGAAGGAGAAAAAATTCGAAAAAGTGCTTGTCAATGAAAATGAATAAACATTAAAAGGCGTCAGAGAATGAATACATATGCGTCGTTATGACTGATTTTCAGCCATTTTACAGGCGATCTCCTATCACCGATTTCTAGTACGCTTCTTTTAGCCTTGACATTGCTCACACGATGATTCTACCATACATGAATAGTGCTGCTAAGACGCCAGTGGTCAAAGCCTCTAACTTCATCGTCGTCGGCTCGTATGCAAGACGAGGTTTCAAATGCTGTATTCCGAAACCTATCGAAGGATGAAGATCTTATAGATTTATCACTGCTCAGATCTGGAACCTGTCTGTTTTTCTTGATTTCGCTTTTTTCGTGCTCCAGTTAGACACCATATAACCACGAGCACAGATTCCAAATGTCTGAAGAAGACCTTTCTTCTTTCTCATAAACAGGAATAATTATTGAATTAGACCAGTCTGATAGAACTCCCTCTGGTTCCCGTGCGCTATCTAGTATCTCGGTTGCCCGGCACAGTAATTTCCTGCTCTATCCGTAAAAGCTGGTAGCTAACCGCCAAGTCCTGCTGTTTTGTATCGTTGCAGGTTTGCAACAGGCTTCTCAATTTCGAGGCGGAATTGAAGGACCAATATCTGCTTCCCACTGAATCATAAGCTAGAACTTCTATGACAAGCGTTGCTTCAGGCCAATTGAGCTATTCTCAAAGGTGTTCCACCAAACGTTCTAGCGGTTTATCCTACAACGTAACTAATGACCCATCCTGTTCAGCGATGGTTTCACTAACCATTGTCCTCTTCACCCCAGTATCCTTTATGGAGCTAACCGCGATGCCTTCTCCACGACTTTCGCTTCCGCCATCCACCACTGCTTGCTATCATAGTGGTCAAAGTCAGCTGGAACGGGTTTTCATCACGTCAATCAGTTCGAATGAGGTTGTGGAAACCCACTGGTTTGCACTAACCTTTCGATGTAGGCTACCACTTATGTTTTCCGTTATTTCTACACCAGACTCAATAGCAGGCCAGACTTCGTCAGATGGACAACTGTTGGCACGCTCAGACAAATGCTTCTCTGTCTCCTCCCGGGACACACATTTAAGGTTCCTTTCCTCCAGTCGAGCACACAGGGTTCACTGATATCCGTTTCCTGGGACCAGTAAGGGGCAAACATACGTGCCTGTACTAGCACGTAATCTCAGTGCAAGCAGAGCGCTCCAGAAAGAGTGATAACCTTCCATCTACCCTATCGAACAATGGCTTGTGGCAAAGTAATCCGTTGTTGGTTTGGTGTTAGAAGACGCCAAGTAAGACTACCTGTTCTTATGTGAGAAGTCAATGCAAACTAGGAACAAGTGATTGGCAGAACAGAATTGAAACAGACGACCAAGGTTTTGCTGTTAGTGTAAGACACAGTAAATACCTCACCGATGCCTTTTTGGCCGGCTCAAATTCTCTACTTGAGCGTTGAAGTTTCCTGTTACTATGCATGAACGTTTTACTCCATGCAGCAAAATTGATTGCTATTGATAGAATTCGTTTTATATTGTCATCCAAACGGCAGTCGTTAGCCAAATGTTCGTGGATTATGAATCGCCATTTCCGAGTCACGATCCTTCTGAGCTTTTGCGTATCCATTGACTTGGAAATGTTTTGAAATGTACTCATCAACCTTGTGAATTTTTGCAGTAGGCAATGAGCCACACCTATTATGTGGGAACTAATGATACTACCTATCTGCTCAAACCTCGGTAGTTTGAGTGGGGCTCGAACCCGTGACCTATCGGTTGGAAGTATTCTCCCTGAACCAATGAGCCACAGCTCTACATTGATTCGGAAAGAAAACATATGACATTTGACTGGAACCCAGTGCACTTCCTAGTTTACGGATTAGTGCTGAAACTAAAGCAGCCAGTTCACAACAGCTTGCCATTGAGTCTCAGGTCAGTCATCAAGTGAATTTTGAAGGTGTACCACAATCGTCAGGTGAATAACTACATTTCTCTTGCGTGCGTGTCTCAGAAACTCAACATAAATCCATGACTTGAGATTCGACGAGTGATGCCTTTTGTTCGATTGGGTGTGGGCTGCGGAGGCTGGAAGCTCTTATTAGAGGTTGCCACCGTGATGTTAAGAGACTATGAATAATGTTTTGTTAGCTCGGGTCGTCAGCAATGGTTGGGATGGTGAAAGGTTGACGAAGTTGTAACAGGCTTGATATTGGTATGAGGTAGTAAATGCAATAGGGGAGACAAGTTGGGAAGGGTGGGTTGCAGTTAGTTGGATTTTGTATGCTACTAGAAGAGTTGCAGTCGGTTGGTGTTCCCTGGATGCCGACACCATGGAAGTTGCTCTTGGAAGAGAGGAAAGCGATTAGTTCTGCGTGATTGCAAAGGCCACGGGGCATATGCTTGAAACCAGTTGGGTCTAGAATCGATTGTGCTAACGCTGGACAACGAAAGCTCATGCCGCCAACGCCATAGTGCCGCAGGGTAGGGGGGAGTGTTATGCTTACCAACCTTCCCTACCCTCTCTTCACATAGCAAACACCGTATCAGCGCAGTACTGTTGGTCATAGGTGAGGGTCATCTTACTACGGTGATATCCCGTGCAACCAGTGATACAACTTCGCCTTCGGACTCCCATTGTACAATAGACATCTGTATTATGGCGGTAACTACATTTTGCCAAACTAGTAACCGATAGACTTATCTGGCGTGTCAGGATCTCAAGGAACAAGCGTTCTATTGGTGATAGGTCTTTGTATCATTGTGATATGTAAGACCGGCCATCGCATTAAGATTTTGGCTGTGATTTTGAATGGTTCATAAAGCCCTTGGTGAATTGTAAAAGTCAAGCAACTCAATGGTTCGTGACTTAAAGTGTATATGATGTGGAATCGAAGCTATTGATGTTCATGGGTTTGTATTGTTTATGCCTCTTATTTGTTACCAAAGGGCAAAGGTATGAAGATTTTGTTTTTGCCACTATTGTTAGTATAATGAATGTGTTTATTTTTGCTGCTCTCTTTTTTCGATATACCTTATTTTTTATGTTATTTATTCTGTGTAACTAATACTGTATTCTACCGAGTCTGTTTTAACACTAATAAGTCGATGAATGTCCAGGCTGTTACAGCCATATAATGAGTATACGCTTACTTATTTGTTCATATTCGTCGGTAAATATAGGTGGTGACAGTTGCGTTGAAGACCGATCAAAAGTGGTCATTTGTTTCGTGTTTTGGTTGATTTTGAGGAATTGTTGTGTCGTTGCAGTTCAGGTGTGGGGTGACATAGCTTTCACCTCAGTTTGAGTCAATCGATGAAGATCATAGAATGAGAATATGAAACAATTAGTTTATTGCATTTAAGTTATCAGATCAAAGTATGCAGTCAGTCCGTGAGGCCACCAACTGTTTTTCTGTACGACATTGAAGTGTTTCTGGTTGGGGTTTCATGCAGCCTGATCCGCCTACTGAAAGTCAAGTTATGTGGCTTAAAGTCGACCATGGTGAGGCAAATGAATTCTCATATAGTCTCGCAATTAGTCTTAAATATCCCATTTTAACGAGTTGCGTCTTATTAAATCAAGTGTTTAACCAGTAGATCACATCGGAAAACCTCGTCGTCCCAGGGTTTAGGCAGTCAGATAATATCACCGTCCTCAGGTTATGAAGAGTAATCGATTACCAGCACATATATATTAGAGGGTGTCCATTTTTATTTCCTTTTTCAACTGTCATCAAGCCTTGACTGTCCTAGATAAATCATGTATTACATAATTGCATTTTTTATTTTCTTATCAGATTGGTCTATGTTAATTGGTTAGAGGGAATCAGCAGGAAGTCGCGGATCTAGGTTTCGTGCTTGTTGGCACTTGTCAGCATGGCATATCTGAAACCCCGAGGAAACTGGTGTCGTCTGTGTAAGACTCGAACCCTCGTGTTGTAATCATTGATGTTACATTGATACACTGATTGGCCACTGGGGGAGCAACCAATTTCTTGTTGCGTAGTCCTGAGTGCTGATCGAATTCTATCGGTCATTTTACAATATGGTCATCAAGCTAGGAGACTCACCGCTTTGGTACACTTTGATGAATGTTAGTTGGTCTATTTGATATTACGATTTACTAGATAACTTCTCGAGCAGAACTTACTACTCATTATCATTTCATGGTGGTCATACAACTCATTCTGACTTTATTTATAGTTCTATTGTTTTTCATTCTTGCATATAATTGGTATCGAAAATTTCCACACATCTAGGATCGGTGTTGCATCGTTTCGATTGTGTGTTGGGCGTCGAATCGATAAACAGAGGTTGAGTGATCAACTTCTCTCTTCACTTAACCACATTAGCCTTCGGTACTGTAACCGTGTCTCACCCTATTATGTAGTCGTATGTTACCGCATATATTGCTTCCCATGGATTGCTATTCCTGAATTCTCAAGATTACTCATCTTATCAGTGAGTATCTATCTAGACCTAGCTAGATTCCTATGTTCTGTTAATCTGACTGGTCCGGTCCGAGTAGTTTGACCTATGTACTTAACCTCGCAGTTATAAAACGATATTTGATGAATTAAATTATTCTGTCTAATTGGGTCCATATAATCCTTAAACCGGTAAAGTTTGTCTCTATATCACTTAGTTTAACCTAATATGAAATTACATTCTAGCACAGCGCTCAAATTCTGTACCTACCTTTTTCATCCTATTTCTTTTGTCTTCACTGTGTGAATAGTTGTGCCAATATATGCCTAGGCTTGATAATACGTTAATATCTGTTTTTCATGTCAGTAATTACTCATCTCGTTTAGTTGAAGTGGTCAATTCGTTTGACCACTTCATTTCCTATCCTTGTGCCAGGTACCGATACGAACCACTCCATCAGAATCATCATATAATATATATTAATTGTAATCAAGATTTGGTCTGATAGTATGGCAAGTATTGGGCGTTGAGTCAAAGGTTGACATTAGATATACATTTTCCGAGCTCGGACCAGACTTCCGTGCGAAACGTTGTAATTACTTGATTTCAAACTCGCTGTGACTTACACAAATACAATCTATATCTAACGTATAATATTTGCGAAACTTATGTATACTTTCTCATATCTTGGTCAAGGAAGTCAAAAGTTCATGCACTTAAACAGCGTCCTCGTTTAACAGGAAAATGTTATGAACGAAGTTGCTAAACTATCATATTTTTAATCGTCTTGGTTATTGTGCATTACAATTTTAAGTTCGATTTGATCGATACAGAACCCCAAACACCAACATATCTCTTCAATTCACCACACTTTACTATTGCATAGTTATAATAAGTGAAGATAAGTCTCACTTTATTCCAACTAAAAGATGGGGAAAAAGAAAATAACTCGGTCAGGATCGACGAAACGCTCATTGATTGACTGTGGCTGAACTTCCTCTTTTTATTCCCCGACCCATTACGTAGCGTTTTCTTTGTGATAGGTTTCTATGCTCCAGATTTGGAGGCCACTTATGATGAATCTGCTCCATACAAAGACTGTAGTTTGATCACAAGTCTTGTCAAACAGTGGGAAGATGCTGCTCAGTTACCCACCAGACCTGATATTCGACAAATTCAGTTACGAACAGGTTAGTTCTAACATTTTTATAAAGTTTTGTCATCTGTCAGTAGTTTGCATTTACGATGCTGGTTATTATTTTCCTGTATTCGGCTTATCTACGTAACATGTTCTGTGTTTACCATAGAAGCCGTCGATTACCTATTGTTCAGTTTTTGAGGAAAGTTACATCATGTCTCGATAACTTCTTTGTCATTCCATGAGACGAGATTATTTTACTATACAATAGTTTTTTGAGGCTCAAAGTGATTCTAATTCATCACAAATCGATATATGGTTGGCTTGCCATTTCAGTTTCTGTTTATTGAGAACTAGTTCACATAAGCCAACAGCTTTCATCTCTATCAATATGCTCAATATAACTTGCTGATACACATGCTCATGATTACTTTCATTTCCTACTCCTTTTAATGAAATCGTGTTTTTTCGTTTGCATGTTTTTCGTATCCGTTTTTGCCCGGTGACAACTAATAAACACCTCATCCCCTCCCTACGACAGTAGTTAACTCTTGACACCACCATAAGGAGGAGTGTAATGCTTATAAGGCCATCCTTTTCCGCTTTCCTTTTTCATAGCGAAGGCCGTATCAATATAGCATTGTTGGTCTTAGGCGAGGAACATTTTGCCACAGTTATATCCCGTCCAGTCAGCAATAAAACTTTGCTTTTGGACTCCCATTGTAACGTAGTTGTTTACATTATAGCAGTAGGTACATTTTTCACAATCAGTTTGTGACAAACTTTCTTGTGTTTTGAGACTTCAAGGAACGTGCGTCGCATTTTGATTAGGTCTTCACCGGGTGATATGGATGAGCTAGTGTGTGAAAGACTTCCTATCGGCGGAAATAGTGGTTAACAGAATAATGTATTCACGCGAAACCATTGGGCTTTGACCAACTATATGGTACAGTTTTTGATCCTCTTTCCTTCTTTATCTGGATCGGTGGATCGCCGTTGAAAGTTTAGTCATGTCGTCTCATGTTTTCAGCTGACGTTAAGATTTTCGGAGCCAAGCTCAGTTGCAAGGATAGGCCACTTCTCCTCAAGACTTAAATTCATTAGCTGAATCGTCTAATAGATGGTCGCTTGATGATGACGCTAATAAGAGCGTAGTCATGCGTATTGCTTGTGAATATGCATACGAATGCACGATTTATGATATGCCATCACCGAAATCCTTTGAGCAATCTGACTGAAGAGTCATTGTAAGATATAACGTCAAAATCACAGCAACTCGCAGGGCGTGGACGTGAAAGCTTTATATGTTTCAAATTCCCTTTAAAAGGTGTCTTGACTTGGATGTTTTGAATATTATATCCTAGATTGTCAGATCTCATTTGAACTATGGGATCCAAGAAGTAACCCTATGTTTTAAATGTCAAGAATGTGTCAAAATGATTTCCACCACACTAAAATAACCAATATCTAATCTAACCTCATTAACGAAGGATTACTGGATTGAGTTAAACTGCTTGAACTAACTTAGCATAAATTAGGGACAGTCCTCCTACTTTTTTGCCCAATCTTAAGTAATGACTTGATTTGTAGTTTGTCTTGCTTATTACCACCCTTACTAGGAGCTGGTATCTCAACAGAACATCACCCAAACGCCGAAGATCCCCGGTCACACCGTCTTCGTCCGGAAATAAGTTTATCGTGGTGGAATTCCTAGCCAGGACGTGTTGCCTTCACCCCTTATTTGAACACTTTCAAGGCAGGATTTGAAATTAAGATTATTCAACATCCCGAGGTCTCTTGACCTGCTGTCGTTAAGCCTGCAAACTGATACTGAAATTGTAGCAATATGACCCCCGTAATACACGAACGTCAACGAAATGAGAAATTGTTATCAACCTGAATTACGCAGCTTCGCAAAAGGCCCACTACACCATCTTCAGCTTACCTGCAAAATGTCTCCACGCTCTGCTTCAGTACATTAGGTGCAATCAGTCACATTATATATGTTGCACGAAACTGAAGTATAGAATATTTGACTGCTTATGCATCTTTCCCGATATTTCTGCAGTTCATCACACAATGTGAGAGTTTAACACTCATTAAATCTATTTAGTCACCAAAGAAAAGCTACAGCCACTGTAAAGACTGGGAAACGTAAGAGGAGTTGATCCAAAAACATAGCAGTAAATAGAGACTGCTATAAACCTTTTGACAATTGGATAAGCAGAAACAACTGACCAACCCGTGATGATAGGAAAATCGTATCATAGAGGAAAAAACCTTTTATAAAATAATCGACCGTAAAAACCCGAATATTCACCCAGTGATACTAAATTTCAGGAATTATTATGTATCGCTATTGATCAAAAAGTGAAAAAGGCAAGAAACAGACAGCTGAAGATCCTGTTGGGCTAAGAATAATGAACAACTACAATCGTTTGCTTGCGACTGATAAAAATAAGCACCAGATAATCAGTGTTTACCATATATCCTGTCTGTATAACAGCAAACTAAAAATATCCAAAATTTGAGACATCTGTGTAGTTAGTAAAAGTGAGACTAGTAGAGATGGCAGTACATAAGTTCCTCCCTAAATTCAATAAAATGTGTACATACGTAGAAAGATTAAAAAGATGGAGCTACATTTGTAGCCGAATTCAGAGATGCCTGAGCATTGTCGTATCCACTCTTCTTCAGTGCCACCTGATGCAGAAAGAATTAATTTGATAATATGTAGGGATTCGTGTGGTGCACTCTTCCACTAGGACCCTTTAACAGATTTAAGTTGTTATATTCTGCACCTACCGTTTTCCGGCATGACCAATGGTATCTGACTTATTGAGGGCACTGAAACGGTGTGCAAATTAACCGCGAAAGTATGGTTACAGTAACCAGTCTCAAACTGTATACCGTAAACGTTTACAGTATCTCTTCGTGAATGCAAGCAAACTCCACCTACTACAGATGTCTAAGTGCAGTTGGTTTAGGGAGATAGCTATCGATCTCGCCCTACCTATCGAGGTTTGGGCAACCGGGTGATACCACTGGCCTTAACACACTAGGTGTGGCTCATTAGCTACTGCAAGGGTGTGAACTAGGTTGTTAAGAACATTTCATTTATTCATTGACATACGTCTGAAATTTCTAATAGAAAATGTTTACCAGATGTGAACAACATTGCTAAATGAAAGAAAGAATAAATATCTTGAAAACTTGGCCACGAAATTACCAACGAGCAACTCCAGGCAGACTGTCTCGCTATTACCTCCCCTTAGGGTAATACTGAAGGAAACGAGAAGACTTGGACTCAGGAAGCAATGTTTACTATTGACATGTACAACTGTCATCAAATATTGTACACCTTGCACTAAGACAGTCATTTGCATAATATGCTTTATTTCCTCTTCTGCTTCTATCTTGATTTATTCTTAATATACCCGCATTGTCTCTTGCGCTCCTCTAGGCAGAATCTTTACCCATTGCTGGTAATTCCCTATGATTTCTGCCGCCCTCTCAACATATACTACTTATTTCCATTCTAATCAGCGACGCCCATTACAATACGACCAAACTGTAACGTCATTGAACTTTATTCTTAGCAGTGGTCTGTAAAGGATCAGTGGGATATAATAGAATAGTTTAATAGAACGAATGAACAACCACTGGCTTGTTGGATATCGGTGACTTAGAGTCATTTCCAGAAGAGAACGGATGACCAATCTACTGGTGGTGATTTAGCAATGAACAGCTACAGTCGATAGCAAAAATAAAGTAACTGAGGATTACTTTAACATTCAAAAAACCTTTGACGTAGTTAATCACTATGGTCTACTTTCTAAACTAAGTGTTACCACAGTTTGTAGAAAGTTTAGTTTGTTCTGATCTTAAGAAACTAGTGAAGACCAGTGTCTAATGCCCGACCCAACACCCTTTTAAAACGTCGAGTCCTTCAAGGATCACTAATCAACCCTACTGCTTAATGTTCCTTTCGATAATTAAACGAAGATTCTGTTGCTTACATATAACGCTAATATCTGGAAAGAAAACCCACTGACATGCGCGTCTGCGATGCAAGATGAGATTGATTGACTGGGTATCAAGAAAACACGTAGATGGTATTAGGCTTATAGAAATCACAAATGACAAGATAATAAAACAGACGCACGTTCCACCACATTACGTGGACGATGTCATACTAAATGACTATAGTAGACTGAGGAGGCATCCACAGAAGTTCGAAATACGGTTTTGTGATCCTCAGATCCAAATTTATCAGTAAGGGTGCTGGAAATCTAGAACTGCTTCCAAAGTACCATTATAAAGTGATGTAAAGGTTTAAAATCATTTATTTCCAAAGGAACTGACAGTTTTACACATGTAGCACATAGATTACCTTTCAGAGACAAATCTTACTCACCTTTTTGTTTCCGTCTTTGCTGTATTTTAGGTGTAGTTCTAGCCAAAGACTCAAATTTTATTCGTTCTATTTATCTCAGTCATCGAATGGGATTTTGCAATGCAATTGGTTCTGGTCGCCAGTGGATGTCTTGGATTCATCTAGGTGATTTAATTAGGATAATTGAATATGTAGCTGATCCTAAGGTGTCTTTTTCGAATGGACCTGTTAATTGTACAGCTCCGAGCCCTGTCGCCAGGCCATTTTGGCCAAAGCTGTTTCTGAATCGCTCGGAGCGCCGTTTAATCCTCTCAGTCTGATTCCGACTCCCCCATCTGTTTTTAAATTTATACTCGGTCCTGATCGTGTTACGTTGGTTGCAGATGGCCAACGCGTGATTCCAGCAAAGTTGACCAATTGTGGATTCAAGTTTGACTATCCTACTTTAGCAGATGCTTTAGAAAATATTTTCGGTCGCCGACCTTCTTGTGTTTAGAACAGTCATATTGTAATTTTTCACTGATTAAAATTACTTTCTAGCAAAATATAACAAAAATTGTTTCTATTTTGATTACTGCCTGACTTTACAATAATTCAGCTGTCACATTTTGTTTGCTTAGCCTTCAAGGCAAAGTTGCATCAATTAGCTTAAACTGCAGCGTATTTTGATAGCTAGCTGGTTATTCAGTCCAACGGGAAGTTTTCTATATGAGTGTGCGAACATCCATCGTTTTGACTAGTGAGTTAAACACAAGATTTGGAGATGTGCTTTACATCTTATTCAACCGGGAGTGCCTGTGGATCGAACCTTAGTGCCTTTATCGTTGCTTTAATTTCACATCATTTTTCTGGCATATAAATACAGCTATTCAATACTTTTACGGTGTTAACATTCACTTTGATTATGTTGGCTTAATCATTCGAGACCTTTCCATTTACTGAAAGAAGTAGATCTATTATACTAAAACAATAGTGAATATTTATAGTGGGCCGCAGTAGTGTAGCGTTGTATTACGTGTACAAGCCTCGATTACCTTCGTAAACAAGCTCAACAAAAACTAGCTGCTTTTTGCTATATAAATTTGTTTAAAAAGCCTACTTAGTGGTTTAGAGTGCGAAGTTTTCGGCGTTTCAGTATAACGTTAGTGCTGTGACACATAAATTCCCCTTGACGACTCTATTTCCAGTATTGAGTGGTTAGAAATAAAATCCTCGAGCCAAAAATAGTCTTCATACTTGTTTTGATTTGTGTGGGAGCGAGTGGCTCATATGCAGACTAATACAGATTTTCATGAGACATTTTGTCTACGGACTTGATGTGCGCTGAAGACAGGAGTCTCAATATTTTTAAAAAGCCAGTAAAAGTTGTCGAGGAGTAACTAGAGGTCTACGCTTTCAGCATCCTTGTGTAATTTATTGAGTCTCAATATTTAACAGCTGGTGATGTAATTTCGTAGACAGCCAACATACCATGTAACCTAGAGCAAGTCACTTCATGTCGAAAATTAACCGTCAAGCGAAGAGTATTCTCTCATATTTGTGGAGGTTGTAACTACTATCGAACAAACTGATAGCTCTTATCTCGAAGTGGTAGTCGGTCTTGTGTATCGCAATTATACAAAGACCTATCACCAATAGAACGCTTGTTCCTTGAGATCCTGACACGCCAGATAAGTCTATCGGTTACTAGTTTGGCAAAATGTAGTTACCGCCATAATACAGATGTCTATTGTACAATGGGAGTCCGAAGGCGAAGTTGTATCACTGGTTGCACGGGATATCACCGTAGTAAGATGACCCTCACCTATGACCAACAGTACTGCGCTGATACGGTGTTTGCTATGTGAAGAGAGGGTAGGGAAGGTTGGCAAGCATAACACTCCCTCCTACCCTGCGACACTATGGCGTTGGCGGCTTTCGTAACCTGACAGGTCTCAAGCATATGCCCTCCCCCCGAACAATAGCTGCTACCTGGACGTTGTTGTCAGGCTTACATAACATAATAGTCCAACGAGCTTCCCTGGTGGAACGCTTGTTCCCTCGAGGTCCTACCATGCCAGAAAGGTCTGTTGGGGAGTGGTGAGATGAAAAGCAGCTACCGACGTAGTGTAAGTTACTACATCTTAATGGGGGTCTGAAGGCGAAGTCGTACTGCTGCTACCTGGATGTGTGACAGCAGTAAGGTGTTTCCCTTGGATGACCAGCAATCCCACGTTGATACTACCTTCTCAATAGGGAAGCCGGCTTAGAAAAGGTTGGCCCAAAAATAATACACTCCACCCTACCCCACGGTCTTCCAAATCCGACGGTATGGGTTACTTCTATCCGGCGGTAGAACAAGCAAACGTCGAAACAACATCTCACAAAAGGTCGCATGCGACACGCCCCAAGAAGATGTTCCTTAAGCTTGGCGGTCACACAAATACTTTTCTCTTTCAGGTATCTTGATAAGAAAAACCCTCCCACGGTGTGGGTGTCTCATTTGATATATATGTATATTTATCCTAGCAAACAGGCTTGTGTGATGTCTATCTTCTGCCATCGGTAAGGCGCAAACGTACGTCACCGTAACTACACGCAATAGTGATGCAGACAGGCACTCCCGAATTAGGGACGATGCTCTCCAACAACGCCTTGTGGCAAAGTAATCCATCTGTAGCCCCCATTAGTTTGGTGTTTGTAGACGCCAATTAATTCAGTATTTGTTCATGTGCGTGAAGCTTGTCCAGGCTAGAAATAGGTGATTGGTAGAACAGCATTGAATCGGGCGATCAGGTTGACGTGTCTTTGGCATGTTTTCGCGGGAAGATGCGTAACACTTAGACCAGAGACATAAATTTAGGCGTCCATAACATATATCCGTAGTAGATTTCGGGTCACCGTCGATAAAGTTTGCTCCAATATCCTTACAAGTCTTTTATTGAATCATGTCTATTTTCAATGCACTATCCAACCCCTTACTTGCCTCTTAACCAATTATTTGGTGACGAGTCTGTACGTCCACGTGGTTTTGTAGGTGGACATGTGGTAAATAAACGAATAGACTAGCCAACCATTTGGGGCCTGGTTGCTACCGTGGGTATTGAGTTCCACTTATTTGCGGTCTTTACGATTGACAGAGTTCATCTTCATAGCAAACGTTATTACTGTCAACAGAGATGTTTGGGGATAAAATCTTCGGGGGTGTCAAGGTGTGTAATTGCTGCATAATGATAGAAGAATTACAATATAAATTGTTAGGATGTTTATTAGCTTTGAAGGACGCATTTTTATGTAATGCATCGACTTTATCTGAATGCATGAGTCATGTAGTATGTTGATTGAAGTCAATGAATGTTTCATGCTACATTTGTCGAAAACAATAGTCGTAATTATTGTCAGTAATGTTTAAAACCATTTTGAAGAACCTGAATTGTTTCTAGCTTATCTTATCATCCCATTTAGCTTGTTAACATAAGTTACATTTGTAGAAAATTCTAGGGATGTTTAAATAACTTGACAGACGAGAGGTGGAGATCGAATATGTTCCGGGAATCGATAGTTGAAAACTGCAAGTGATATATCTCGAAGTTGATCATAGATGTACCCATTCCTCATTTCCAGCCAAACGCTAATTTTGAGCAGCGTTATGCCACTTATCGCCTTGTCACTCTTCACTGACTTCGGAACTTCTGGTTTGATTAATTGGATTCCTATCTAACCTTTTTTGACTGCTATCTTGATAAGAATCGCGGTATCTTGGGCTGTTAGTTGCTTGTATCATTTCCTACGTTGGTACCATCTGACGGTAAATTTAGAAAATATTTTTTGAAACAAAACCTAGATAAAGTGAGTTCCCGACTTCACATCTTACATCTCTGTTTAGTTATATTCGATCGACCGCGGAACTTGTGAAAAAAATTTGATGTGTGACATAGATTTGGTACAGAACGATAATATGGTTCGGGAAAATTTCCTACACATTGCTGATGTCATCAGAAGTTTAGTTTATCAACCTAACAAACTCATTAGTTTGGTGCGATTAGCTAATATACTTCCGTACTATATTCTTTTAGTTTCTGGGGCGGAAAACAATTTATCCCGTCTTCTAACTTTCGGTCACATCAGCAATTCTGTACCAGATGGGTCTGTTGTTTGCTTTCTTGACTGTTCACGAATCATGAGATTTTGGTATAGCCATTTTCCTTGGATGAAAAGAAATTCTGCTAGGGAGCAAAACAAAGTGTTGCGGTGGTCAAGTGACTACCAAATAATCTTGTAGTTGCTAATCCCTATAAAGGTGGTTACTTGGTCGTCTTGGAAGGCTTTAAAATATTAATAGGTTGCTGATTATGAATAGATATATGAAGAACTTTGATGATGATAATTTCGACTGAATCGAAGGGAACTATTTTTCATATTGTCGTCTTACTACTGGCTAATTTTTTGAGGGCAGGTCATATGCCTGCATTTTCTAAAGTGGATAAAATTATGGACTTGGAGTTTAAAACAGAAGCATGCTTTGTTGTCAGGTTGAACAACCCGAAACAGAATACTGTGAAATACTATTGAGTTACCATATGGGTAAGGGAAATCAGAAATCTTATGCAGAGTTCTAAAGGAAGATGGAAATAAGGTGGCATGCACGCCCGCAAACTCACTGAGAAACATGCGTTTACGGCTCGAGAATTCCATTGACACAATAAACAAAATTACTTTATCCACCAAATAACGTGCAGTGACTGTGAGGTTACGAACATAGGTCAGTTGGGTTGTCGGAAAATAGGAATTTGGTTGAATGTAGAGTGACAGACCTAAATGGAATCAACAGCGTAAAAAAATAGAGGCTATCAATGTAATGCAATGGTTATCATTTTGGCCATCTGAGATAGCTGTAGATTGGCAGACTAGTAATCATACTAGGTGAGGGTTGAAGGGGAAATGAAAATTTGGGTCGCAGCCGATTTCGAGCCATCAGGTCGGAAGCCTGGTGGCCGGTGTTTCGAATCCGACGGCGGTCCAAATTTCCACTTTATCATTGAGCTCAGTAGGTTGTGAAGATGACTATCAACCAGTGGGTCACGGATTCAAACCCCATTCTACCTGCCGAGGTTTGGGCAGCCAAGTAGTATCACTAGACCTCACACAATAGGTTTGGCTCATTGTCTACTGCACGGATATGCACAAGGTGCGTTTCTCCTTCTTCACTGGATTGGGATCCAATGGTCTGCATTGGATGGAGGCCCCGCTATATCGTGAAGTGACAAAAGTAGGAATTGAGGACCATCGGGTTCCGATCCAGGGGCTCAGTGTTAACGTGCTGGCCGTGTAACCCTAGGCT